TTTTATTGGTTGATGTATTTAAGCATCTTTAATACACAAGTTAACCATTGACTGTTGGTGGGTTGTATGTGTAGATAGACACATGTATTTTGTTGTTGTGATTCCTTCTGTGTTTAACCCCTATATTTTCCAAAAATAAAAAGATCTAGAAGCTTGTTTGCCTTTTGGTTCAGTGTATTTCATACTGCATCAATTGAGAGGTACAGCATAAAAAAATGATGTATAACATCTATGATCATGTAGTGAATTCAGGATGTGACATGATACCTCTCGTTATAAAAATTCCCTGTCAATGTTTCATCAAATAGTTCTACTCATTGAATATTGTTGCTTGAGTAGTTATTTCATTATAGACATTAACATATTGATTTCCTAGTTCAACTGTTCTACATTTGTCAACTGGGTTTATTTTTTAGATAACTTTTTATTAATTAGGGCTATAATTGTGAAGTACAGTTCATAGAAAGTACAGGCGGAGTGCTTAATTCTGTTTTAATTGCCAGTTTTCAGAGTGAGACCATCATTAATGTTTAGTAATTAAATTCAGACTCTGAAAATGTTGGAGTTTGTTAAAAAGTGAGCTTAAGGGGCTGGGGATTTAGCTCAGTGGCACAGCGCCTGCCTGGCAAGTGCAAGGTGGTGAGTTCAATTCCTGGTAGTGGAAAAAAAACAAAAGGGAAAAAAAAAACGTGAGTTTAAATACTGTTTTTGACATATATATTTTTAAAAATATGATAAAGGGAAGCATAGAAGAAATTTAGAATCCATTATTAATTTACCTAAAATTTGTAAGTCGTCAATATTTAAAGAGTAGAAGTGATTAGGACCTAACCTCACTAAGGAGTTACATTTATTTGGGAGTTTAACAATATACCTAGTGATACAAAACCAAACACAGGGTACTGCTCATTTGAAATAATAACAGTAAAAGGCATTTCTTTTTTGTTTGAATAATAAGCATCCCTTTATTTTCTGACTGCCATTCCAAAAACTGATTACATTAGCAACAAAAGTGTCTTCTTGAGTTGATGTCAGAGGTAGTTACTCCCCTAAAGTGTTAAGTAAAACAAGTGTACAGCATTAGTATTAAAATGTTAAATTTTACATTGAAAAAGGCGTTTCTGACTTAGACCTTTTACTTTTTTAGGTATGAAAAGAGAATTTTTCCAGAGTGGTTAACATTTTTAAATATGTGGATTTCAGCTTCCTTAAGAGAAATGTATTGAACATACTGTTTTAACATAGGTTTTTGTCTTATTCACTGTTTTATGATATCAGCATGAATTGCTTTAGTGTCTCATGTTAAAATTAAAATATATAGCTAGACACATTAAGAGCTTTCACCTTGTATAGCAGTATTCTGAGAGGTTTTGCACATGAAATTGAAGCACAGAGAGGGTGAGTGACTTGCCTAAGGTCACTCAGTTTGTAAGTAGCAGAGCCCAGGAGTGAGACTCGTAATCTGGCTCTGCAGCTCATCTGCTGAACTGTTTGATAAACTGCAGGGTAAATGTTGAAAGGAGCTCTGTAAGATTTGTATTAGTTCTGCCCCCACTGCAGTGAGGTGGGATGTATATTTCTACCATAGATTTAGTGTAGTATGTATATCTAGTGTATGTTTAATGCATTTTAATAGTGTATTTGGGGGGTGATGGAAGTATAGAGTGCTTGCCTAGCACGTGTGAGGCCTTGAGTTCCATCCCTAGCACTGCAAAACAAAAGCCGAAAGAGAAAAAACAAATATATTTTGGATGGTTCAGCACATTGAATTACTTGAGTTTTATATATGCGGCGGGAACCATACAAGATCAAGAAACATGATCTATGTGTCTTTAAAAATCATTGTTTTCAGGCAGAGAATAATAGAAACAAACTTGTGGCTGACTGTGTTGGATTTATTACTCATTGTGGGCACTGAGAACTATACCCTGGAGAATGGTGGGGATCTCCCATGAATGGGTGCTAAGAAGCACTTACCTAGTAATTGGATTTGTCTGTTGAGTTAGGAAGGATTCAGAGTAGCAGGGATTTTCTGTGAATTTGGTTCTGTGTAGAAGGAAGTGGGAGAAGTCTGGCTTGTGGATGTCTGTATTTTAATCTTACCCAGAAGGCTGGAGGAATGAAGTAAGGTCAAAGCTAGGACTGGAAAAGAAGTTATAGTGAGTCTTTTTTGTCCAAGGTAGGAGACAATGTATTTATATTTTTTCTATATTCAAGCATTATTACAAGAGTAGTTTTATTTTTGTCTTGATTCCTTAAGGTCACAGAGTGGCCTCATGTGATGGTGTTCTGTGAAATTGTTTATATTCAGCCAGACTTCAAAGCCTAGTTGGGAGTTCCAGGTCAGTGCCTAACTATTGGGCTGATTCTCTTCCTCATAATTTTTTTTAATAAGTATAAACTAGGTTCATTTCAGGAAAAAAAAAAGTGAGGAAACATCCATAAACCAAAAGTAAAAGAAATTACCTAGAACAAAACGAAAGATTTAAACTACTTAGTATTTTTGTATATCTTTGAGGATATATTTTAGCCTTATTAAATAAAATATTTTTAATACATGTGGGTTGCATTATTCATATAGTTAATTTTTTTAATCTTAAAGATTGTCATTTCATTGTAAGATACATGGCTTCTATGCCATATGGAAAGAATTAGTTACTGGAGTTGTAACTCTTTGTCAGCTTTATGTTGATAAAATGTTTAGTACTCTGTGTTCAATCATCTGTCTAGCTTATTAAGCACCATATATCTTTTGTTTTGTTTTTTTTTGGTTTTTCTCCGGTACCAGGAACCGAACTCACGACCTTGCACTTGCCAGGCAGGCGCTTTTGCCGCTGAGCTAAATCCCCAGCCCCTGCACCATATATCTTTAAATGTATGTTTTTGTGTGTGCACATAAATGTACAGTATGATATGATCGTAGTCAACTTTGTTTTATTTTATGCTGAGTATTGAACTTGGTTTTGTGCGTAGTAGACAAGCACTCTGTCACTAAGCTATACTGTCAGCCGTACTGATCATTTAAGGAAAGCTTATTATAGGGAGGAATTAGAGAACATAAATTTTATTAGATGAAGGCATTAATGTTGATAACTATGTGGGTTCTGGTGTTTATCAAGTCCCTACTATTTGCTGTGAAGATGATTTCTGGAATTTTAGGATCCTAAAATGCACATTTCAGAACATTAGATAGTTTTCAGTGTATAAACAGGAATTAAAATATTTTATCTATATATGAGATCTGAAGAAGTTACAGAATACCATGTATAGATCCATATGACATTATAATAAAAAATGCTTTTCAACACAGATTTATTGATTGACTGATTGGACTGAGTCTTGCTTTTTCTCTGCTTGCCTTGGACACACCATAGAGCTATAGAGAAAAAGGCAGGAGGAACTCAAGTTTGAGGCCACCCTGAGAAAATTAGTGTGATGCAGTCTCAAAATAAAACAAAAAGGACCGGGAAGAAGTTCAGATGCAGAGCATTTGTCTGGTGTGCATGAAGTCCTGAGTTCACTTCGTAGCATTGTGGGGGGAGGACTTCCTTTGAAGATGTACAGCTTTTTAAAAATAAAATCACCTAATATCACAGCAATCTAATTGAGAAAGAAGTGCTTCTCCATTATCTCAGGAGTTAAATGTGCATACTTTTTTGTGATACTGGGGATTGAACCCAGGGCCTTTGCACTAAGCTACATCTCCACCCATTTTTTAACTTTTAATTTTGAAACAAGGTCTTGCTAAATCACTAAGTTGCTCAGGAGAGACTTAAACTTGGATTCTTCCTGGCTTAGCTTGCAGAGTATTAGGATTGTAGGTGTGTGGTACCACACCTAGCTTTATGTACCTTTGAACCTTTTGTCCTTTTTTCCTGTTCTTTCCTAATTGTGTTGGAAAAGAATGTCAGTGTCACTTTCATGTGCCCCCCCCCCTTTATTTCATTTGAGAGCCTCCAAAAGTTCCGAATTATAAATGGGCAAATGTCAGATTAGTACAGAGGAAAATGAAAGTTGTAACTTTTGAGCAGATTTTGAAAACTAGTGTTGGTAATCACCTGATTGCTTTTTAAATCTACTTTTTGTGCTCAGCTTAAAAAAAAAAGTTAATGTACTTGGTTTAAAGCTCTTGAAAAGTCCCCCAAATCCCACTTAGAAAATACCCTAGAAATCTCCATTTCTTTTCTTCCTGTAAATTTACACTGTCATAATTTAAGTACTTAGAATATATTTAATGCATTTTTAATCTTTAAAATTAATAAAATAGGGATTTTTTTGTGAGTTCATGATTTTTCATACTGTACCATAATGTAAATGTATACTTAATTCTTTGAATATGATTAAAATCTTTTATATATAATGTATAATGCTAGGAAGATGACTTTGTCACATCCTCAGGGACATTTCAATCTATTGGATAAAGGAGAAGTTGTGTGTGTGTGTGTGTTGGGGGGGGGATTCACACATACACAGTGATTGCGTTACAAAGTGGACTGATGATAGAGTAGGTATAAAGGTATTGAAGACAAAATGAATAGTTAATACTTTGGATCAAGGAAGACATGATGTTATTGGAATTAAAGGCAGTGTGTTAAAATTAGTATTCCTTGCTTAAATCTAGAATGAAAGTTATAGATGTATTAGACAAAATTATACTCAAAGATTCTTTTCTTTTGGCACTAGGGATCCACCCCAGGATTTTGTGCATGCTAAACCAGAATCTTGCTATTGAGTTACATCTCTAGTCTTCCAAAGATTCTTTTATGTTAAAAAGTTGTTTTTTTCTTTTTCTTTTTTTTTTTCCGGGCTCTGGGAATTGAACACAAGATCTCACACATGCTAAGTAAGCATATGCTCTACTTCTAAACTATACCTTGAACCACTGATGTTTTCCTTGAGTTAGTATTTTGCTCAGTATCTTCATGTTACTATTTCTTTTTTTTCCCATTCTTTAACAGGATATAATTGTTTTTCTCCTCATTTTTTTCTTTTTCTGGCAGCTCTTCACAGATGGGATCACAAATAAACTTATTGGCTGTTATGTGGGTAATACCATGGAAGACGTAGTCCTGGTGAGAATTTATGGCAATAAAACTGAGTTGCTAGTTGATCGAGATGAAGAAGTGAAGAGTTTTAGAGTGCTGCAGGCTCATGGCTGTGCCCCGCAACTCTACTGTACCTTCAATAATGGACTGTGCTATGAGTTCATACAGGGAGAAGCGTTGGATCCGAAGCATGTCTGTAACCCAGCCATTTTCAGGTATATTTCTGTTTCTGAATATATTATGAAAAAGTGTATTAAGTGCATGAAGGGAAAATATTGTTTAAAATTACTTTTTCAGCAACTATTTGGTTCACTTAGAAACTTTCTTTACTAAGAGCTTTTATTTCCTAAAAAAAAGATTTAAAAAAAATATTTACTATTTTCATAGTTGATCCTTTGCAAAAGAAAAGGCTACAAGATTTTTAATTTACAGCTATGTAAGATCAAGGTTTCCTCTAAATTTTTTGGTGGGGGCAGGGGATTGGTACTGGGGTCTGAGCCCGGTTCTTTCCACTAAACTTCGTGCCCTGATGTTTTTAAATATTTTGTTCCAAAACAGGGTCGCTAAATTGCTAAGTTGCCCAGTCTGGGTTTAAACTTGCAATCTTCCTGCCTCAGCTTCCCAGAGGGCTGGGATAAAGACATGTGCCACCATGCTTGACTTCCTCTTACGTTTTTAAAGTAATGTGTTATCAAAGTGGTGCACTTTTTTTGGTCAACTTATTATTTAATTGGTCATATTTTCAGAGTTTTTACAATAAGGTTCTTTTAATTCTGTTGTTTTTGTTAGTAAAAACAGTAAGGTTTTCATTTTAGAATTTCATATTTTATATTTCCTATAAAGGATAGTGTCTTTTATATCCTTAAGAAATTTTTGAAATTATCAACTTCTCAAATTTGCTGTCTGCTTTGGAATCCTCTAGAAAATGGACTTGATTTGAAAATAGCAGGTTTGTTGTTATTTTGTTCTTAAAGCCTCTTTGTAGCTGTGAAAAGTTCCTGAGCACCCAGAGAACTTGTGTTTTAGTATTTCATTTATATTTGTCAATATTTACCATATCGAAAGTTAAAATCGAATGTTGAGAACATGAGAATATCAAGTGGATATCCTGTTATCATCAGTATGACGATGTTACATGTTATGCAGCCTCTCAAACCACACTGTACACCTGGGAGAGAATAAGAGAATGGTGAATAATGTCTCATGGAAAAACACAATTTTTACCTTACACATTTCCTAAGCCTCAACTCTTCAAGGGTCCCTGGATTATACTTTAAAAGTTGCTAAATTAAAACAGTGATAAAAATTAAATGGACCAATGTTATTGCCTCTTGGTAAACCTGAATGTATTAATACATGTTGGAATAGAAATTTATTCAAACCCTGGGTTTTAGTTATCAGCTGTACTATTTTCTTTTACGTGAGTATACTCGTTAGATGTGTTGTGTTGAAGGATCCTGATTGATACATTTGTGTTTGCTTGCTGTGTTGCCGAGGCTGGCATTGAATTCAAGAGCTTCCTGCCTCAGACTTTTAAGTAATCGAGACTACAGACATGTGCCACTAGACTCAATTGTTTGTTCTTTTGTATCAAATTTTTTATGGTCTTTAAGCATTCCTTCATTCATTCACTTGTACATTACTAGTCTTGGCTGTAGTTGAGATGTACTTATGTATTGGGATTAAGAATGAGAAGATTCATAAATTGGATCAAAGGAGAAGCAGGGGTTAGATTCAGATACAAAATAATACAAGGTTGTTAGAGAAAGGCCACATGAATTTCCTTCCAAATAAAGCTAGAGAGAAAAATACTTGTATTTAGAATCAATGTCTAAAAGACCCCCATATGTCTTTCCACCGAAAAATAAACACCTGCTTGCCCAGGATCTGCAAAATGCACACAAGCCCAGGGGTTTCATTGCCCATTTGCACTTTCACAATCGGAGATGGCAGCAGTATAAAAAGCTCCTGAGTCTGGTGTTCTCTTCTTATACATGCAAGATACCAGCAACATTGCCCAGCCGTGGCTCAGGGGTGAAGCCAGACAGCTAAGGGGAAAGACCACTAAACACTACTTCAATTTTCCATGGTACGTACTTCGTGCGTATCTTCCCTGAAGCTTTCATGGGGAGACAGGTAGTGACAGTCCTTGTTTGACTATAAATAGGCTCCCAGGTCTCCCAGGTACCTATATATACAGAAGGTCTGGGCAGCATCCTCATAGCAGCAGTAGGATCCAGCAGCCACAAGAAAAGACTAAGCTTTATCCAAAGAGAGGAGGTGGAAACCAAGTCAGAGGGAGAGGTAGAACTCAATCTGAAGTGAGTTCTACCTCAAGCTCCTCATGAAGGAGCTCTGCCAATACTTAGCAAAAACTAAGAGGGATACAGACCAGTGACAGCAGCTGGGCATGGAGTGTCTAGACAGCTATATGAGTGCCAACCACTACTGCACTGTAGCCCCCCCTCCAGTCAGTGGAGCCTCAGTGAACAGTCCTAGGCCAGCATAAAAAAACTGTACAAGATCTGGGCTACGGAGGCTGCAGTGCTGCTTCTGCTTGATAAACATGGTGACGGGAGACCAAGCGGGTCATTCTAAAGTTGTGAGCCCTAGCACAAGGATCACTGGGTATCCTTTCCAAGCAGGGTGCTTAGTCTGATACACCTCTTCGTCTTTCTTTCTGTACACGTTCTCAAAAGGAGGACTTTTAATAAGAAATAAGCCCCCTCACTATGGAGGTGAAAGAATATGTTGGAAATTGGCAGGCCTTGTGCTATTACCAATATGAGAAACTTTCTCTAGAACATAAAAAAAAAAATTTTATAAACATCATTTGGGGGTGGTAGTACTGGAGATTAAATGTAGGCCCTTGCACATGCTAGGCAAGCTCTTTGCCACTTAGCTATATCCACATCTGTTATTACGAGACAGGGTCTCTAGGCTTGAACTTGTGATCTTCTGCCTTAGCTTCTGAGTAGCCTGGATTCAGGATGGGCGCCAAGCTATTTTGTTCTTTGATGTTGTCACTAGTGTTCTTGCCTACAGATACTGGGCAGAAAAAAGGCAGTGTCCAAAAGATTTAAGAACAAAGTTGCTTAAGGCTAATATTTGTTTGTCTAGTAGTCTTAACTGCCTTAGTAACCATCACACTTTCATATACATACATATACACACATATGAAATAGATATACATCTGAAATATACATTTATTCTTAAATTTTATATACCTCTTCTTTTGTTTAATTGCATTAGTTAGAACTTTTAGGACGTTGTAGAGAGATTTGTGAAAGGGGAGATAGCCTTGCACGTTATTCCTTATCTCAGTAGGAAAGTTTCATGTTTTTTCAGTAGGATGTTGATATTTTTTATCATTGTGCCATTAAGGAGGGTATTTTTTAGTAGATATTCTGGATCAAGGTGAAGAAATTCCTCTCCCATTCCTAGTTTATTATAGTTTGTAAATGATTAATTGGTGTTGGATGTTGTGAAAGGCTTTTTCAGTACCTGTTAATAAGCTCATATGATTTTTTTCCTTTATTCTGTTATGTGATGATTACATCAATTGATTTTCAAATATTGAGCCAGTGTTGCATAACTGAGATAATTCTGCTTGGTCATGGTGTATCATTCTTTTTTATACATTATTGGATTTGATTTCTTCCTGTTTTGTGTTAGTAAATAAAGTAAGGCTTTGATTTCCTAATATTTTATGTTAGTAAAACAATTTATTTAAAATCTTAAATAAGAAATAAAAATTATAGTTTTTTCTGTTTATAAACTTTACTGATGGAAAATAAAGTGCTATAATCAAGTTGTTTTAAGAACTTTACTTTTTTTTTACTCTAAATACACATAACATTTACCATTTTAACCATTTTTAAAAGTGTGCAGCTCAGTAGCATTAACTACATTCACATTGTTTTGTAGCTAATTTCCAGGGATCTTTTCATCTAGCAAAACCGAAACTCTGTATTAAATAACATTCCCTGTTCCCCCTTTCCTCTAGACCCTGACAACCATCATCTACTTCTATCTCTATGAATTTGACTACTCTAGGTACCTCATGTAAGTGGAATTATACAGTATTTGTATTCTGTGACTGTCTTATTTCACTTAGCATGATGTCCTCAAGGTTTATCCATGTGGTGACATTTGTCAGAATATTCTTTTTTTTTGGTGTAGGGCTCAAACCCAGGGCATATCACTGAGCTATACTTCCAACCCAGAATTTACTTCCTTTTTAAGGCTGAATGATGTTCTTTTATATTTATATACTACATTTTGTTTATTCACTCATCCATGGATAGACGCTTGGCTTGTTTCAGCATTTTTAGCTACTGTGAATAATGCTGCTATACACATGGGTGTGTAGCTATCTCCTTGATGCCCTGTTTTAATTCTTTCTAAGTAAATACCTTGAATTAAAATGGTAATTCTATTTTTAATTTTTCAAGAAACTACCTTGATGTTTTCCATGGTAGTTGTACTATTTTATGTTTCTACTAATGTTGCACAAGGGTTTCATTTTCTCCACGTTCTTGCTAACAATTGTTTCTTGTGTTTAAAGTTTTTTTTTTTTAGTTTTTATAGTAGCCACTCTAATTGGTGCAAGGAGGTATTGCATTCTTTTGGATTTGTGTTTCCTTAATGATTAGTGATGTTGAAATTACATTTATGTGTTTATTGGCCTTATGTTTTATCTTCTTTGAAAAAAATGCCTATTTTATCCAATTTCAATTAGGTTGTCTTGTTTCTTTTTATTGGGTTGTAGGACTTCATTACTATGTTTGAATATTAACCTCTTGTCAAATATAGTTGTTCCTAGACTTTATTTTCTGATAAACCCACTTAGTTTGAAAATATTGTTAGTTGAAAATGCATTTAATCCACTTACCTTACTGAACATTGTAGTTTAGAAAAACAGTACACTGTAGAATATCAGTTGTTTACCTTTATGATCCGGTGGCCAACTGGGAGGGTGATTTGTTGCTGCAGCCCTGCATTATTTGAGAGTGTCATCCTGCATGTTGCTCTCTAGGGAAAAGATCAAAATTCAAACCGTGGTTTGTGCTGAATGTGTGTCACTTTCACACTTTCATAAAAAATTTGTATAGTTGAGCTTCTGAAAGTCAGGGACTAGATAAGATTTGCAAGTATTTTCTCTCATTCTGTGTGTTGCTTTCTCACTATGATGAGTACGTCCTTTGATACATAG